GCCTTAAACCTCTTTTCCCCTTGAAATAACCATGCAATGAACCATTTAAGGAAATAGAGAACTTTGGAGAAGATATACATACCATAATCCAGTTTATCATCCTTTCAGGAAACCCCAGGCCATTTAACATTTCATTTAGAAAATTCCAATTTATAGTACCAGTTTATCATCCTTTCAGGAAACCCCAGGCCATTTAACATTTCATTTAGAAAATTCCAATTTATAGTATCAAAGGCTTTTTTAATGTTGAAACCCCAGGCCATTTAACATTTCATTTAGAAAATTCCAATTTATAGTATCAAAGGCTTTTTTAATGTTTATGCTTAGCATAATCCTAGGAGAGATATGCTTTCTGTTATAGTTTTTCACTAGCTCATGAGCCATCAAAATATTGCTTGAGATATTATTCCCCCTCACAAATGCACTCTGGGCTTCATTTACCAGATACCCTATTACAGGCTTTAACCTGTCAGCTAAGATTTTCGATACCATCTTGTATAGGCAATTACAGCAAGCTATCGGCCTAAAATCAGCTGGGGATTTGGGACAAGTTACTTTAGGTATCAAGGTGATGGATGTGGAGTTAACTGCACCTAGGAACTTCCTATTCTTGAAAAACTCTTCAATAGCCAAAGATATCTCTTCACCAATGACATTCCAGGCTGATTTATAAAAGGACATGCTATATCCATCAGGACCTGGTGCTTTGTCTTCTGACATAGAGAATACAACATTTTTTATTTCAATCTTGGACACTGGAGATGAGAGTTTTCTAGCCTTCTCTTTATTTAAGCATGGACCATTTCTAATGATATTCATGTCAGGCTTTGATGTAGCTGTAGTTGTACCCAAAAGACTCTCATAATAAGAAGTTAATTCTTTAATGATGCCATCTCCCTCAGTAATTCTATCCCCTGCACTGTTATAGAGCACATTTATTCTGTTTAGATGCCTTTTTGTTTTGATAGCAGAATGAAAGAAACTAGTACATCTATCACCATTCATGTTCCACTGAATTCTGGATTTCTGTTGATAAAAAGATAGCTCACAATCCAGAAGTTTATTGAAGGAAGCAATGCATTCTTTTTCCTGGTTGATCAGATCAGGATAAAAGGATCACCTTGCAAACAGCCTTGAGCATTTTCCAGATTTTTCCTAGCTCTGATGACTTGTTCACTGATATTATAGAAATTTCTTTTATTTAGATCTTTCAGAGAATTTTTCAGAGCCTTCAATTTACTTACAACAGAGAACATAGCACATCCAGGAACAGAAGTTTGCCAGACAGCAGATACTAAAGGCAAGTAACTATTATGCTTAGTCCACATCTTAAAGAACTTGAAGGGCTTTTTGCCTTGAACACAATTTTCAAAGACTGAACCAATGCAGGAGAATGATCAGAGCAATTAGGGAGAAGGAATTCTACATGACTGGAATTGTAGTTGTTGATCCAATTGTCATTTACCAAGGCTCTATCAAGCCTACTCTAAACTTTGATATTTGAATCTTGTTTATTGTTCCATGTAAAGAAACATCCATCAGTTTTCATGTGAGCTAACTGGCAATCCTCTATAATTTTCCTAAAATCAACTGTTTCAGCCTCTGACACCTCAGCCCCTCCTAGTTTTTCATCACTGCCAATTATAGCATTAAAATCTCCACAGAGCATCCATGACATATTTCTAATTTTTTGATGAGTTTGATGCAGATCATGCCAAAGAGATTTCCTATCTTCCAAATGATTATGGCCATATATGGATGAAATTATGCAATCTAGTCTGCCATCCAAAGATTTAACACCACATGTAATGTGTTGAGATGATTGACTGACAATATTAATCTCCAGAGAGTTTGGATCCCATAAAATCAAAATCCTTGCTCTACCAGTATTATTTGCATTTGAATACCATTTCCAGCTACCAACTACCAGCTACCAGCTACCTTTTCTATTATGACTGGCAACCTACAATTTTTTACTTTTGTTTCAATGAGAGCTAAAAAAGAAAGATGGTATTGAGAAATATGGAGCCTAACCAAGTGTTGTTTTGAGGATTTATTTAGTCCTCTAATATTCCAAAAGGAGAGATTCATACAGGATTGGTTACATCCCCCCTATCCACTGTTGAGGGATCTAATTCATCTCTGATAAGAAGAGCAAAGGAATTGCCAGGAGATGAACTACCCTTCTTTCCAGATTTTTGCCAAGGCTTATATGCTTGATAGTTTTTTTTCCCCTTTTGAATGCTCTGATCCAATGTCCTGAAAATGCACAACATGTACATTTCTTGACACATTTCCAGTTAATGAGTTTCTCCCCTCAGCTAATTTCTCTGAAAAATAATCCTGAACATGTACAACATGCACAACATTGACAGTGTTGCTGCTCTTATCAGGAGATTGAGTTTTTTGAGGTCCTTTACTTTGAATATTATTCCCAGATAGAAAATCCATCCCCCTGGAACCATCTACCACCTGAGTATGTGCATGCTCAATAAGACTTGTTTCAGTTGGCTTTGTTTGATTTTCCACATTACCAGCTTGATTCACAACTTCTTTTTGTTTTGGAATCCATCTCTGAGCCCTGGGGTATTTTTTGCAATAATTTGAATCATGACCAATAATTTTGCATCTATCACACCATTTAGGCTTTAGCTCATAAACCACATTTTGCTTTATAGTTTTTCCATTTGGACCATGAATAGAGATTGAGTCAGGGAGAGGAGCTGGCATACTCACTTCCACTAAAACTCTTGCATATGCTAGTCTTTGTTTGCTTGCTGTAAGTTTGTCTGTTGCAATAGGTTTCCCAATTTGACTAGCAATTTTGCTAATAGCATTAGGGCTCCACAGGTTTAGTCTTAATCCAGGCAATTGAATCCAAACAGGATAAACATTTTCATTTATCTTCTCCAAATCTTCATCATTTGTCCAGGCTTTTAACAAGAGGGGTCTGGAACCAAAGAACCAGGGCCCATTTTCAAGGATATTCTGCATTTCCTCTTGGTTTTTGAATTTAAACAAAAATAAGCCAGGTTTGAGTAGGCATACATCAGGAATAGACCAATTAGCCCAAACTTTATGCACATAGCTTTCCATGGCTTTAAACTTAGCATTTAGTCCTAGGACTTGCCCAACCAAGGAAAATTTCCAATATGAAGTTCCTTCATTCCATTCTTCCTCATTAAAGACCACAAAATCTTTATTTTCAGAATTCACAAACTTCAAGTTCATACCACATCCTGCTTTTCTATTATCAGCAAAAAGACTAGCCCAGCTTTTCTTGACATCAAGATTTTCTTTAATCTCTCCTTTGTCCTTTTCAGCAACCAAAGGAACAGTAATAGGTTCAAGAAGAGCATTTAGATTTTGCAAATTTGTATCAAAATAACTAGCTAAATTCAAATTTTTTTGTCGATGTGATGAATCAACAACAAATTCAACTTCATCGGCCCAAGAGACCTTACAAGATTTACCAGAACTAGAAAGAGAGGGATGGCTGGCCTTCTGAATACTAAGCGGAGGAGAATCGCTACTGATCTTCTCAGAATCAAAGCATAAGTCACCAGCAAGAACAGATTCACTGAGTTTACAGCTTCCGATCGCATGATTAGATCGAACAACACCAGCTAAGGGGGAATCACTAAGCTGATGACTTCCAATCTCCAGAGGAGCACTACCTGGAGAGTGTTCGCTGAGCTGACGAACTTCAATCTCCTGAGGACAATTCCAGCAAGATCTTGAGCTTGGATCATTCAAAATTTCATCCATCAGTCTCTTTTTCTTTTCTCCCTTTGGACCCGTAGATCCCATTTTATTCAAGAAATCATCCTCCTCCTCAATCGATCCAGTCTCTTGATCAATCGAAGAAGAAGAATTCAGATTTGAAGCACTAAATCCAAATTTTAGTAATTTTTTCCCTTGATTTTTCCTAGTTCTTGCCATCTAAATCTCAGCGGGAGCGCAAGTTAGCAAAAACGAAATCGCCTGCTAACAAAGTTATCTATAGAATAAAATCCTAATCGAATTTAAAAAAAAATCTCACTAAATAATAACAAAAATCGTAACGAAATGTCCTACCAAACAAATAAAACTAAAAGAATAAGTTTTAACCAAATATCCTAAATAAAACATCTCAACTAAAAAAACTCAAAACCCTTACCAAAGATAAAATCCTGACCCAAATCTCGTCGACAAGTACATATGAACATATTCCCAAAACGACAGATGAACATATATTCTATCTCTACTAATTTAATAGGCTCGCTACCAATTTCAATTTGTTGCTTAATTAACCTCTAAAGAGCACAGTGTGATCGCAGAGACTATGCAATACCTTTGTAGTGTCTCTCTTTCAACTTAATTCCAAGTGCCAAAAAAGGATGCACCATATTCATAATAATTCAAAGAAAATACTTATTCGACACTAATAAAAAACGCTCTAGTAGAAATCAATCATGCTTCCGTTCTCTAGTTTAAGCCATAAAACTTGCATAACAAATAATAAATCAGAAGAACAGCTCGAATGGAGAAAACATCAGAACCTAGAAACTAAAAAATTTAAAAGAAGAACTCCTCCCGTATCGAAGTGTACTGATGAGGATTAATTAACCTCTCTCTTACAGTCCCTCCAACCAAATATAAAGACTAGAAGGGATGTTCATTAATCCACCAGCTGATTATTGCATCGCCGGTCCTCTTCCCTCCCCCTCTCCAAACTGCCTACCAAATCAAGCCTAAATTTAGGCTAAAAAAAGCTTCCTTTTACGGTATAAAACTTGGTTTTCTCATGCAAAATGCGAGGCTTATACACATGTAATGTTGTCCCATACTTGTTGTCCGATATTTTACCGCTATGGCTAACTGATATCACCTTTTCTCCATTTTTCAGTTTATATCTCCCGTTTAAATAGTCAAATAATAATGTCTTCGTTTTTGTAACATAGTCGTACGTTAGCACGTTATTATAAACTCATAAATACAAACTGTGTTCTTCACCGCAGCGTCACGTTGATCATCCTCATCGTGAATCAGGTTGCAAGTAATGACCTTTGCGATCGTATCAATAAAATCGCTGCTTGCATCAGATATCGTCTCTGTGCTCCATCCTTTATCGCCAACCCGATGTTTGGGTCAGAAATTGTTGTTTTCATTGTCATCAAATCTATTACAACTTCAGTCGTTACAATAAACTCAAATAAAAAAGTTGATCTTTTTATAAGATCTCCTTAAACAATGAAAATGAAATATTATAATTTCTTCAAACAACTAATAGATGTTTATCGCCTATTGTTTGTGTGGGAACTTCGCCTATGCCGAGGACGTTGATATCCGTGGACCGCCGCGGATCAGATCCGATTAACAAATTGATAATCAAAGCTCCTACTTCACGAAGTAAGTATTCGTAGAAGTGGTAATCCCGACCAAACGAGATTACGACTCTTCTCAGGATTAAGACCAAGCTTAAATCTGGAGGAATAAGGGGTAAGGGTCTCAGAGATCTCGAAATCCACTCTTTATGCACAGGAGATCGCTGAGATCTAGCTAACTCTCTGAAATTCGTGCTCCACTCACCAATTTGGCAGCACCTCGCCCTCTTTTTCTCCCGTCCTGATGACATGAGCCCCCAAGCTTGTATTTATAGGCTTCGGTTGGGGGTTTTTTGGATAAAAACGATAGATTCCGCCTCATCTTCAGTTAACAACCGTATAACTACGTTTAGAGATAACATTTAGGCAGTTGGGAACCTTTGGAGCAGAAGAAATCTCGTGAAAACCCGTTGAAACCGCCAAAACGTGTTTTTGGATCAAGTCTGCGCGCGAGCCATTGCCGAACCACGTAAAATTGGTTGTATCGCTTTTGTGTGATTTGTAATAGATTTTTAGGATCCCTCGACAAGTCAGTCCTAGAACTGATGAGAGGAAGAGCCGATTGTGAAAACGGCGAAGGAATTGTGAAAAACGTGAAGAATAACCCAAAACAGACTCCACCACACCCTGGTGTGGTGTCTGCCATGGGTGTGGTAGAATCTGTCCTGCACCACACCCTCTGCCACACCCATGGTGCAGGGTGTGGCAGACTCGTTTTTAGAATCCCAATCAGTTTGGGATTGTGTTTTGCTATAAATAGAGACACGTTTTTTAGGGTTTCCTAGGCTTGGTTTAGGCTTTGATTAAGCATTGATTGGGGGCTATTTGGAGCACAAAAAGAGGTATTTTTGAGCTATTCGTTTAGGGTTTTATTTGGAGAGATTAAGAGTTTTGTTGGTGAGATTAGTTTGTTCCTTCGAGTGATTTGTAATCTCAGTTTGTACTCTTTCTCTATTAGTGAAAACCCCATCCCCCCTTGCCCCGTGGACGTAGGCAACTTGCCGAACCACGTTAAAATTGGTGTTTTGTTTGTGCATTGATATTTGGTTCGTTTGGCTCTCTTGGATTGGCGTTTGGTTTGGTTCCTCGACACAGCTTCAGACACAACAAAGTGGTATCAGAGCTCGGGCAACGCTTGGGCTATTTGGAGGAGTAGATCGCTTTGGAAGTTCATCTAGGGCTTCGTTTGGTGATAAAGGTGGGATCTTTTTTTGTAAAAATCTCGTCTTTTTCAGTTTGGATCTATTTCTCGTTTGTTTCCGCATTGGTTTGGTGGTGCCTTGAGGATTATGGCCGAGAAAGAAGGAGTTGTGGGCAGTACTTCCGGCGTGAAGACCGTCCAAAGCTTGAATATCCACTCAATGAAGATTGATGTGGAAAAGTTCAATGGCACAAACAATTTTGGACTTTGGCGATGCGAAGTCATGGATGCGCTCAATGCGCAAAATTTGGAAGATACGTTGGAGTTGGATGGGAAACCGGACAATATTGATGAGAAGGTTTGGAAAAAGATGAATCGAACGGCGTGTGGTGTGATTAGGTCTTGTCTCACTCAAGATCTAAAGTATGATGTGATCAATGAGACTTCTGCAAAGAAGATTTGGGAGATCCTTGAGAGCAAGTATTTGACCAAGAGTGTGGAGAATCGCTTGCATTTGAAGAGGAGGCTTTACCGCTTCCAGTTGAAGAAAGGAACCTCCATTGGTGATCACATGAACCACTACACGAAGCTTCTTGCGGATTTGACGAATGTAGATGTGGTGATTGAAGATGAGGACAAGGCGTTGTTATTGTTGAGTTCCTTGCCTGACGAGGAATATGAGACCTTCGTTCTTACTCTTATTAATGGGAAGGCATCTCTTTCGTATAGTGAGGTCACCGCTGCACTTGTGAATTATCAGCTTCGAAAGAAGGATAAGGAGACTTCGTTTGAGCCGGTAGCGGGGGCGTTGGTCGCAAGAGCAAAGGGTCCAAACCGTAGTGGGAGGTCGCAGTCTAGAGGGGCACATCTTGGAGTTCGTAAGAATCAATGTGCCTTTTGCAAAGAAGATGGACATTGGAAAGCCGATTGCCCAAAGTTAGTTGATCGAGCCGGGAAGAATAAGGGAAAAGCTATTCAAGCTTCAGAGGCGAATGTTGTCAAGGCTAGTGGCAACGATTCAGATTCGGATTCTTCGGGCTACTCGTTATCTGCACTGCCGTCAGTTTGTGTTGCCTACTCTACAGAGTGGATATTGGATTCGGGTGCTACATACCACATTTGCCCTAGGAGGGATTGGTTCTCCAGCTTTCAGGAGTTGGAAAGAGGGGATTTCGTGCTCATGGGGAATGATCACAAATGCTCTATTGGTGGTATTGGTACTGTTCGGATCAGGATGAGTGACGGGGTGATTCGGGAGTTGGTTGGAGTGAGGTTCGTTCCTCAGTTGAAGAAGAACATCATTTCACTTGGAGCTTTGGAGGCAGCTGGCTATAGGGTGACCTTGGCGGATGCACGCTTGAAGGTTACATTTGGGTCCATGATTGTGATGAAGGGCGTCAGAAGGAGCAATTTGTACTATTTGCTTGGGAGCACGGTGATTGATAGGGAGATGACGACTTCATCAGATTCGGCTAGACTGTGGCATTGTTTGGTGCTGGGGTATATGATTGGTAATACCGTGCATTGGTTGTTGAGGAGTGCTATGACCTGCAGATTGAAGTCCTGTGAGCATATTGGGATGAGCAAGACCGTGGTGGAGTTTGGCATTCCTATCCATCGAGCGAGAGGTCTTTTAGGAGGTGTTCAGTCAGGCATTTGGGGGCCTTCCAAGGAGGCATCATTGGGAGATAATCGTATCTTAGTTTCCGCAGTTGAAGATTGTTCTAGGCATTATTGGGTCGCGACCAGTTCCCGTTGGTGTAAAGTCCTAGAAGTCAACAACAATTGGAAGAAGTGTATTGGCAGAAAGGTAACTCGTTGTTCTAGATTTGATAAGGGTCCTTTCTTGCGTTTGTGCCGAGCTCACGGCAATAGGAGACACTTCATTGGTGTGGAGACTTTGGGGCGACGAGATGAGATGACAGTTTCGATGAGTCGTTCCTTTCTGGAGGAGGATCGGCGTTGGTTGTCGAGCATTGGTTCTGGAGCTTCGACATATTTGGGTCATCTTAGTCACAGGTCGCCGACTGCTGCATTAGGAGTTATTGGATCTGGTGGAGCCGCTTCAGATTTTGGGTTGCGTCGGATATTTAGATACCCAGCATTTGGTCACATCGAGGATGTGAGATTTGATCCGATTGCGTGTTTGGGGTTCGGAGGCTCAGTTGATTATCGTTTGGGAGCTTCTGATTTTGTTCTGAGCAGGTATGTCACTTTTGACTCTCGGCAGGTGGAGAGTGTTGATCAGGTTTGGGTGGAACTTATTCCACATACTCCAGATCATACTGCGTCATTTGGGATTCCAGCTGAGGTGACACAGGTTGGGGATCATTTGATTTCGGATGCAGATGATGGATTGGTTTTGGATTCGGTTGCAGCTGGTGGACATGATTTGGATACGGCCATTGGTTCACCTCAGATGGAGGTGTTTGATTTGTATCAGTTTGGGGCCGCTATTAGTTGCAGATCCGTTGGCGATATTGGGGAAGAGTTGCAGACTTTTTTATTTGTTTGAGGGCTTTTGGAGGCCGTTTGGGTGAACTACGTGAAGGCTTGATTCCTTGGGCAAGAGGATACGTAGGCAGTCAGTTTTGATGCAGCCGATTTGGTGAGTAGATACCGACGTTTGGGTGAGTGTTCGCACTCCCGTTTGGGTCTCGACTTGTGTGGATGGAGTCCGTTATCATGAGTCCGTTGCCGTGGCGTACTGGATGCAACAAGTGAGGCATTTGTTTTGGTTGGTGTCGACTCAGTGTTTGGAACACTTCGTCGAGGTGGAGAATTGTGAAAACGGCGAAGGAATTGTGAAAAACGTGAAGAATAACCCAAAACAGACTCCACCACACCCTGGTGTGGTGTCTGCCATGGGTGTGGTAGAATCTGTCCTGCACCACACCCTCTGCCACACCCATGGTGCAGGGTGTGGCAGACTCGTTTTTAGAATCCCAATCAGTTTGGCATTGTGTTTTGCTATAAATAGAGACACGTTTTTTAGGGTTTCCTAGGCTTGGTTTAGGCTTTGATTAAGCATTGATTGGGGGCTATTTAGAGCACAAAAAGAGGTATTTTTGAGCTATTCGTTTAGGGTTTTATTTGGAGAGATTAAGAGTTTTGTTGGTGAGATTAGTTTGTTCCTTTGAGTGATTTGTAATCTCAGTTTGTATTCTTTCTCTATTAGTGAAAACCCCATCCCCCTTGCCCCGTGGACGTAGGCAACTTGCCGAACCATGTTAAAATTGGTGTTTTGTTTGTGCATTGATATTTGGTTCGTTTGGCTCTCTTGGATTGGCGTTTGGTTTGGTTCCTCGACACAGCTTCAGGCACAACAAGTTTATCTCCTGTTGTTTGTGTGGGAACTTTACCTGTGCCGTGGACGTTGATATCCGTGGACCATCACGGATCAGATCCGATTGACATATTGATAATCAAAGCTCCTACTTCACGAAGAAAGTATTCGCAGAAGTGGTAATCCCGACCAAGCGAGATTACGACTCTTCTCGGGATTTAGACCAAGCTTAAATCTGGAGGAATGGTGGGAAATAGGTCTCAGATCTCTCGAACTCTCTTTTTTTATTGAGGAACCTCGCCAAGATCTGCTAACCCTATGAAATTCATGCTCCACTCTCCAATTTGGCAGCACTTCGCCCTCTTGATTTCCATCCCTGTGAAATGAGGCCCGAGGCCTGTATTTATAGGCTTCGGTTGGGGGGTTTTCAGATAAAAACGATGGATTTGACCTTATCCTTAGTTGACAACCTTATAACCACATTTAGAGATAACATCTAGGGAGTTAGGAACCTCTGGAAAAAAAAAATTCTGTGAAAACTCGTCAAAAACCGTCAAAACGTGTTTTCGGATTGAATCTGGCTGAACCGGGTGCAAAACGAACCGAACCGGCTCGGTTCAGGCGCAAACCACCATTTGGTGGCTGAGCCACTGGCCTGGCCGAGTCATTTTGATGCGACTTGGCCGCCAGGGGCTTTCTCGGTATGTTCGGTCTGGACTTTTTTTATCTTTCTACGTGCATTCCGTCGTTTTGTTCACTTGTACTCTTCACCGATTCGCTTCATGCGTTTCGTGAACGCGCAGGTCAATTGACGTTGGCTGATGAGTGCGCGGGCCATTTGGAAGTGGCCGGTGAGCGCACGGGCTACTTGGTTCGCTGTTTCGGTGGCCGATGAGCATGTGGGCCACTTGGCGGTGGCCGGTGAGCACGCGGGCCACTTCATCAATGGTTCGCCTATTCGCTTTATACGCTTGTCTGCGTCAGATGATCCTCTTTGACTTGGATAATCCTCTTTGACTTGGATAATAACGTTCATTGTCTTCTCTTTGTCTCGAGCTGTGTGTGGATACCTATAGGTATTTTTAGACGCCTACACCCGACACATGCTCAGCTGTAAATCTGACCCCTTCTTGTCGTGGTGAACAACAACAATGTTGCTCCAACAAGTGGGGAGATATGTGAAAGTACAAGCGTACTCTTTGCTGAAATTGAGTTTCGGGAGATCGATTCTTGAAAAGGTAAGTGGATTGTAAAGAAAGAAGAACTGACCGCGATGAGCAAGCAACCAACCGTGCTTGGATTTGACGACAGTGGCACCCTCGAGATCGTGCAACATGATGGTGCACCTGTGTGGATGAGATTTGCTGTAGACGTAGCATTCAGGGATGCGTGTTTCGTCCCTTTGTAGTCCATAGAACATGGCCCAAGGTCGATCTTTGGAGAAGTTGACTAGTTCAGCACGAGCCGATGGAGATGATCGCCAGTGTTTGCAGGCGCCACGAAATCTTACATAGTCGACGAGAGGGAGGCGATCGGAGATTTGCTCCAAGATGTCCAAGGGCATTACAGTCCAATCGCGTTCTTGTGACCTTAGCATCATGCACATGCCCATTCGTGGATTTTTATTTCTTTTTAAGTAATGAGCCTTTTACATTATAATCTATGGACGTATCTATGGAGTTTTATTAATTTGGGAGTACATTCTAGAATGACAGGAATTTTAAATGAATCAAACTTCTATAAGGATAATAGATAAGGTTTTTTAGGAATTCAAAATATACATTAGAAAGTATAAAAACTGATTTTTTAGAACAATTAGAATTTTTTTCGCATGCTATCCATTGATACCGTTTCTAGTTCGGAAATTTTAATTTTTTTTACTAGAATTGTTCCCAAAATATATAACTTCTCATCAATTAACACAGTTTTTTCTTTTAACTTTTCCTTTTTGATTTATGAAAAATCTAATCATCTCATTTTTTACTGAAATTGAAAAAAATTAATCGCGTGCCAGGGACATACTATTTTCTCTCATTTATTCTCTCTCCTTCTAGCAGTTTCCTTCCATTTTACATACTAGTTGAATTCCTCATGGCCACATCATAGTCCTTGATATTGGATTAAATTGTTAGAACCAGAGTAATTGGATCTTCTCCAATTACCACCTGATTAGAAAGGATCAAAATACATAGGTAATTATTTAGAAAATAAATATATTTCAGACTTTCCGTTCAAGTGTTTTTCCTTTTAATGGGAAAAAAAACTTTAGAGATCTTCTTGTCTACACTATAAATCAGATGTTATCTAGCAGAAGATGATCTAGAAGCGAATAATACGCAGCGTAACTTTTGATATATGATCTCCATATCAATTTCTTCCCTTGTTTTCTATAATGTAAATTGTATAATAAAATTTCAGGGCTATGTGATGATATAGATACCAAAATTCATAAAAAATAAATAAATAAATAAAAACTATTTGTTTTGCAGACCAAACGAAGCACCACTCCACTGGGTTGGATGTCGTGTTTTTAAGGGTTTAGGCATGGGCTTTTATTGTATGGAGTTACAAAGAAATACTTATGAAGGACTAGGCCTGTCCAACCGCCCCGGCCCGGCCCGGCCCGATAAACTAGGCCCGGGCCTATCAAAACTAGAGACATGGACCCGGGCCCGGGCTCGAACGGGTTAGGCACCAGGCTGGTCTGGTCATTTTCTTTCTTTTTTTCTTTTTTTTTTTGCTTAAAATTTTATTTTTTAGTTAAAAAATTTTAAGAGTAAATAAAAATAAATTAAGCAAATTTTTGATAAAAATCAATCATATTGTTTGTTATGGTGTTTCTAGTCGCCAAAGTGCAACCCTTTGCCAGCTATGGACAGGTGTCCCCCTACATGTATTACTCAAATCAGATTGACGGTCAGGACTATCAAGAATCCCAACTTAGCCGACTTGCCGAGTCGACATCTTTTTAGAACGATTCAAAGAGCAGTACTTGTCGGTCCTCTTGTCGAAGACGACTCGCTACGAGCCCACTCGATCGTTTATTCGACACCTTGTGGTGTTGACTCGAAAGACATTACTTCTCGGCCAAGCTAGAGCACGACTTCAACCTCGAGCCTCCCCCACTAATAACGCGTCAGCATCACATTAAATGCTTAGCAAGTGCCATCATTCCTCTACCCTGAATATTCTTTATGACTCATCGGACCACATCGGCACCGCCATACCCCCAATCACTTCGTATTTAATACCAAAGTAACCTCTCCTCCACTCGTCGACTGATACCTATAACGTAGATGCTGACGTAGCCGTCATCCCATACTCGCTTGCCGTCATCATATACTCGACCGAAATTACCATTCTATCATTTGGCCACCACTATACTATTCCAAATACCAGGGTAAGCTATTTCTAAGCCGTTTTGAGTAATCTCTGAGAATTCCACTACACTACACTTAAGAACTCATACAATTCATTACTTTTCCACTCAAGTCCATCAATAGACTTGATCTCGGAGGAACAACGGGAGAACTAGTCCCCGTCCTCTCACGAATTGCTATTTGTGCAGGCTGAAGCTACTCAACTCAAAATCAGATATTCGGAGAAGTTAGCAGCCCCTAATTAACCTCACTCCCATTTTATTATCTGTTTGATTATTAACATCAACATTATTAATCACTTGTAATTATATAATTTACAAATTTAAAAATCATAAAAATTAAAATGATAAAAATAAATTCTTTATTAATAATCACTAACAATTACAAATTTATTTTTGAAATTTATCACATCACAATAGATGAATACATCCTAACTAGGTTGGCACTTACTCATCTATATCACTATCGTTTGTAACTCTTTCTAAAATAATTTATCATAAATTTTTAGCTAAGAAATAATAAATAACAAAGTAATGAGTATTTCTATAATTCTACACTTTATCACTATCTCCTATTGCCAACTCATCAAGTTTGTCTTCAATACTAGTCATCTGATCGATGCATTGAGTTCTCTTCTCGTACCTCCACCAATCTTGTAGGTACATTACCTCCTGTACTGTAGATGGATCTAACAATGTCCTGTGATCATCGGTCAAACGTCCTGATGTGCTGAAGGCGGATTCTAAAGCTACCGTAGAAAGCTGTACTGTTAGTAAGTCATGAGCCTTTGAGAGAAATGCATGACCAATAGATTCGAGCTTTGTCTAATCAGATTGGCGAATCTAGTCATCACAACAATGACTACCGGGCAAGTGACGATTTAGACATAGACGAACACCTCGATGCAGATAACCCTCCTGTTGACCAAAACACTGGGGGTGGCCCTATTAAAGATAATAACGCTGTGGGTAGTCCCACCAATGATGATAATATCAGGGTGGCCGCGATGTTCCTCCTCGAAATCGATAAGGAATGATACGAGCGAAGATGAGAAGATGATGGACCTCGAGGGCAAAATCAATGCCTTGATGTCCATTCAGAATGTGAAGAAGACCAGCATTTCATGTCCCTATCCAAGAGAGTGGGAGTCGATCTCGTATCTGGCGAAGTTCAACCTGATCAACTTCATGTCATTTGATGAGAAGGGTTCTCCCACTCAACACTTAATTTATTTCAAGTCCCACTTGGGAGTGATCTCTAGCAACGAGTCTTTGATGATCCGGTTATTCATTGGCACCCTTCGCAGGCCTACCATTGATTGCTACCACCGTCTCAAGCCTGGAATCATCAACAGCTGGAACTATATGAAAAGCTCGTTCCTCGGCAATTTCTTTGATGATGACACTGAGGTATCAATCAGGATGCTCTTTGAGGAGAAACAGGAAGACGAAGAGACGGTCGACGATTTCATCAAGCGCTTCCGAAATAAGGCGATGAATTGTCGAGATCCGGTCACTGAGGACTTTATCCTCCAAACATGTCATAACAACATGTCCATTGATATCTTACAAGTTATGGGAGTAGCACCGTCTAAGACTTGAAAAGAGTTGAAGGTGCGCGGAGAGCATGCCAAACGCTTCCTCAGAAGAAAGAAAGTCGAGAGAAGCCAACCGACGACTAACCCTCCGAACTCGAAGTTTGCTTCCCGTGATAAGGGGAAGGCACGTGCAGCAGCTATTGATGTTAATCAGACGTCACAGCAGCAACCCAGAGATAGTGAAAGAATTCGGACACAAGACTCTAAAAAGAGTTCTCCTTTAAGGATGAAGACGTTTTGGCTATTTTTAAATCCCTCCTTGAAAACAAAAAGATCAAGCTCCCACCTATTACGAATCAGGAGGAAGCTAATAATACTTTGGATCTAAAATACTGTGTGTATCATAGGAGGATCCTTCATCCCACCAAGGCTTGTTTCACTCTCAAGAACAGTATTCAAGCCTTGATTGACGCCGGTCTCATAACGCCGAAATAAGTTAAATGAGAACGGTGGACTCTGATGAGTATAAAAGTATAAATTGCTTTTCCCATGACTCCGATGAGTATAAGAGTATAAACTACTTCTCCCATGACTCCGACGAGTATAAGAGTATAAACTGCTTCTCCCATGACTCCGACGAGTATAAGAGTATAAATTGCTTCTCCCATGACTCCGATAAGTATAAGAGTATAAACTGCTTCTCCCATAACTCCGACAAGTATAAGAGGTTAAACTGCTTCTCTGTAATACTCTAATAGTTATATGAGTCTAAACTGTTTCCTACATTTGATGGGAAGTTTCTAGAAAATTTTATACATAATATTCTTAAGGATAACCCGATCATGCAACTGAGTACAATGTTAGACCCAGTTTCACAAAGAAAGATGGGGATGAATAATTCATGTAACGGGAAGTTCCCGGAAGAATGTTATATGGTGTATTCTTAGGGATAACCCGGTCACTATAAAAAAATGATGAATAAGAAACTCCCACTTGGACTCTGAATGCTTCCAAGAGTAAAACGCATCCGATTGCTAGGATCAATTTAACCAACTTTCAAGCATTCTTTTGCTGAGACGAGATTTGATCACTTCGTTGGATCAATCTTCCCTCACAAAAAACTCTCATTGGTGTTTGATGATTCATAATCTCCCACCACAAAATCCCTCACTGATCAAATTAATTGACGGTAGGTCCACTAAAATTCTTCCTGGTTTAATCCATTCAGACTCCTGATGTGTCTATGCACTCAACACTCCCATTGTTAGAGTCCAGATATAATGCTTGTAATTTTAGTCTGCTAATCTTTGACAATTGTCAAACCCCTTCATGTTAAGTCCTTATCACTTGACACCAAGAACCCCTACTAAGTGATTTGTATAAGTCAACACTCCCACTGTGATTTATACTCCCACTCTTACTGTTTATCTCGGTCAAACCTTCCTACAGTTAGGACCACAACCAAAATCTCCTCTCGATTCCTTCCATGAATAAGAGGTATGCTTTCAATTTGAGCGATCAAACCTATAAAAGTTAGGATTATTTCAAATCCCCACTAGATCAAACATTCCTACGGTTAGGACCATAACCTAAATTTCCTCTCGATTCCTTCCATGAACGAGAGGTCTACTTTCAAATCGAGCTATCAAACCTTCCTACAGT